GAAGCTCAACATACAGATTGACTAAGTGTGGTGAAAGAATACAACCCTGGCACACCTCTTTCCTGAATTTAAACCACATAGTGTCCTCTTGTTCTGTTTGAATGAGTGCCTCTCAGTTTATGTACAGATTCCTCGTTAGCACCATAAAGCATTCCAAAATACCCACTCTTCACAATACTGTGAAGTTTGTCAGGATCCACAAAGTCGGAAGCCTTTGCATAGTCAGTAAAGCACAAGTAAACATCTTTCAGGTATTCTCTGCTTTCAACCAAGAACCATCTGATGTCAGTAATCATATCCTTATTTCACTTCCGCTTCTGAATCCAGCTTGAATTTCTGGCAGTTTGCTGGGTTTTGCTTTATCTTCAGCAAAATTTTACTTGCATCTGGTCTTACTGATATTGTTTGATGATTTACTCATTCCGTTCATTGGCTCTCTTCTAATCTTTTGGCTTGACACAGATGAGAAGCATCTCCAATACTTCATCAGTTTGTTCAAAGATTTCAGTTTGTTGTATTCTCACTTCTGGAGTTCTACTGTCTGCCAGAGCCTTCAGCGGAGCCTCAGTAACATCAGTTCTTGATTGTATTCTATCTACCTCTTAAAATGGTTCAACAGAGACCACTTCTGTTTGTTACAGTGACTCTGTGTATTCCTTACAGCTTCTTTTCATACTTCCTGCATCATTCACTATTTTTCCCACATTGTTGTTAAGTGCTATCAAGTCAGTTTCGACTCACAGAGACCCCATATAGGGTTTTTGAGGAGTGGCTGGTAAACTTGACCTGCCAACCTTGAGGTTCAAACCGACCTTGCAATCCAGCACATTAACCCACAGCACCACACCAGGATCCCATAGAATCTTTCAATATTGCAAGTGGAGGCTTGAATTTTTTTTTAGCTTGAAAACTAAAAGATCATGCTACAAGCCTGGTCTATGATGTAGAACTGATGTATCTGAATTATGGCATTGGTGAAAAAAACTTCAAGTACCAAAGAGCTGCCAAAAGAACAAAGAAATCTGACTTCAAAGAACTACAGCCAGACAAAATGATGAAAACTTTAAAAATATTATCAAACATCTCTGCTTTAAGCCAAGTTTGACCAGACGTCAGCAGTGATACCGCTAGTCCCACAGTTTCTTTAATGGGCCTGGGCGCTCAGGACCATCGTGTCTGGGGACACCATGGTCAACTGGCATGACATAGTCCACAAAGACAATGTTCTACATCCTACTTTTGTGAGTAGTGTCTAGGATCTTAAAAGCTCATGAGCAGACATCTAAAGTGTAACTATTGGACTCTCCACGTGCGGAAGAAAAAAAAGTGATGAGAACTGAAGATGCTCGGAATCAATGAGTGGACTATGTGAACATCAGTCTCCAAGACTCGGAGACCAAAAAACTAGATGAAAAGGAAGAACTACTATGAAAAGGATCGCATTAGAAGGTCCCATATAGACAAGCAAAATATGTAGAACAAAATGAAAAATTACTTTTAAAAAAAAAGGCTTAATGGTCAATAAGAGACTCTGGCCCTCCTCTCATCCACCCTTCCAGTCTGGAAAGGAACTCACCGTCATGGCTCAATTTTCAGCCAAATGGTAGAAAGGGGAAGACAGCAACACTGGTTAGGTCTGCTCACCATGGAATAGTCAATCATTCAAAATCAAAAGGGTACCATTTTCCTAAGGACAGAGTTGAGAAGGGACGGGAAGGTAGGTGGAATGCAAACAGAAACCGGTTGGAGGAGGAAGGAAGAGGAAGCCAGATAACTGCTGCTGCATGGTTGTAGTCACTAAAATGAAACAAAGTATATAATTTGATGAATATAAAACTGATAATCTTGTCTGTAAACCTTCACTCAGCTCACAATTTAAAAAAAAAAGTACAACCAGAATACTCTTTAGAAGCCAGGGTCCCAGAGCAGGCAGCATTTTGTTTTGTTGTAGGTAGGGTCACTATGAGTTGGAAACAACTAAATGGCACCTAACAATAATACACAGATTGCTATTTGCTGTTGTTAAGTGCCGTGGAATTGGTTTTGATTCGTAGCAATCCTGTATAGGTTTTCTGAGGCTTTAAACCTTTTTTATGGGAACAGAAATCCTCAGCTTTCTCCCACAGAGCAGATGGAGGGTTCAAACCGCTGACCTTGGCGGTTCACAGTCCAGCACTTAATCTATGGAGCCACCGCACTAATACATATAAAACGGGGCTCGAAGCACGCCCAATGTTGCCCAGCTGTTCAACAATCATCTTGTACCATGCGATTCCAACTAATCCCTTTCCCCTTTAAATATTTCTAAAATTTCCAAATATTCCAAACTGAACAAAAATTGCTTTCATAATCTGAACAAAAGTGTTCTTTATGAAATTGGGTAAAAAAAAAGAAGGTAGGGGGAGGAACAGACATGGGAAGGCAACAGCGAAGTCTTAACCCTGTGCTGGAACCAGAGGCCCATGACTACCCCGCCCCCGTGTGACCTGTGCTGGGAATTTGCATTTCCCAGAATCTATATTTTAACAAGATCCCTAGATGATTCTTCTGTATCTCCAGAGGCTCTTGCTCAAGTGTAGATTCTGATTCAATACTTCTGAATTCCAAGTACAAATTCTCAGCAGAGGGGAGGAGGGGGCAAGCTGGAATGAACTGGTTCAAAGCCAGTTGTCTGCACTGTCGGAATCACACAATCCAGGTTACCAAAGATTAAGATTTCCTTCCTGGGTGAGTTCTCTCTCTACACACAGAGCGAGTGTGTGACTGTCTTATGGCTCCCTAAAAGGGAAACCAGTCAGGGGCTCATGACAAACAAACATTATAAGAGTGGAGCTCTGGTAGCATAGTGGGTACGAATCGGGCTGTGAACCTTAAGGTCAGCAGTTCGAAACTACCAGACGCTCCATGGGAGAAAGATGAGGCGTTCTACTCCCGTAAAGATTTACAGCCTCGGAAACCCTGTACAGGGTCGCTATGAGTCAGAACCGACTCCACGGCACATAACAACAACATTAGACCCTAGGCACCTGAACATGAAGCCAAATGGGTCCTTTTGGGTGTAGTAAAAAGGGCAGCTTAAAAGTATGGGCTTATTGTTGGGAAGTGCCGTCGAGTCAGTTCCGACCCATGGTGACCCTGTATAGAGTTTCCAAGGAGCATCAGGTGAACTTGAACCTTGCGGTTCAAGTACCAACTTTGCAGTCCAGCACATTAACTCACAGCGAGCGCCACACCAAGACTCTCATGTGTTACTGTTGTTCTTGTTAAGTATCATCAAGTTGATTCCGACCCATAGCGACCCTGTATAGGGTTTCCAAGGAGAAGCTGGTGAGCTTGAAGCACCAACCTTGCAGTTCTGCCGTCTGACGCAATAGGCCACAGCATCACACCAGGACTGCATATGTGCTTATTAGACCTCACCAAAATTTAAAACTTTTGTACTTCAAAGGACCCCATCAGGAACATGCTAAGATAACCCTTAGAAGAAGAGAAAATATTTGCAAACCCTGTATCTGAAAAGGGACTTCTATTTGGTCTATATAAAGAATTCTTGGTGATGGTTCTAACTCACAGTGACCCCGTACAGGGTTTCCGAGGCTGTAAATCTTACCGGGAACACAAGGCCTCATCTTTCTCCCGTGGAACAGCTGGTAATTCCGAACTGCTGATCTTGAGGCTCGCAGCCCAATTCATAACCACTATGCTACAAGAGCTCCTTAAAACTTAACAATAAAAAGACAACCCAATTTAAAATGGGCAAATCATCTGCATAGACATTTCTCCTCAAAAGACATACAAATACCCAGTACTCACTGGAAGGACGCTGGTCACTAAGGAAATGCGACCAAAATCACAGGGCTACCACATCACCTCCGAGGATGGGTGGAGTCAGACACACAATAACAAGTGTTGAGGATGCAGAGAAATCGAAACCCTCACACATTGCTAGTTGGAATGTAAAATGGTTGCTGCTTTGAAGAACAGTCTGGTCACTTGAGTTTCCACATAACAAAGCAAGTCCACTCCTGGATACACTCTGGAGAGAAATCAAAGCCCACATCCACACAACACCTTGTACACAAATCCTTAGATTCACATTATTCATAACAGCCAAAAGAAAAGTTGCTGCCGCTGTTGGTTTTTTAGTGCCGTTTAGTAGGTTCCGACCCATAGCAACCCTGTTTCCAAGGAGAGGCTGGTGAGCATGATCCTCCAACTCTGTGGTTCATGCCAACTTTGCAGTCCAGTGCATTACCCACAGTGCCACACTAGGATTCCAAAAGGAAAGCAGCAACCTGAATACCCATCAACTGATGACTGAATAAACGAAATGTGGCAAAGTCCTACACAAAGGAATATTTCTTGGCCATAAAAAAGGGATAAAGTCCCAACACATGCTACATAACATGGATGAATCCAGAAAACATTATGCTAAGGGAAAGAAACCAGTCATACATCATACGATTCCATTTACATGAGACAAATCTATGGAGACAGAAAGGAGACTTGTGGTTGCCAATGGTGTGAGTTTGGGCAATGAGTATGGGACTGCTTGTGTGGAATGATAAGAATGTTCTAGAACACAGATTTATGGTCAAGGTTGCATAAATCTATGAATATCCTAAAAACCACTGAGTTGCATACTTTATATGGTTGAACTGTATGGTATGCAAATTATGTCATAATAAAGTTATTTAAAAAAACAACACATGGCTTAAATGGCACCTGTGTCTTTGGAAAGCTGGTCATCTCAGTCACAAAGCAAGTGCTTTGGGCACATCACCAAGTCCATGACCATGTTTCCCTACCAGGAGACTCGTTCATTCCCTCATGTATTTGAACCTGTGTTTCCCTGGTGATACTGCTTCATTCTGACTTCTGTTTGAGAATCCCCATCTGCCCCTGCCTATCAGTTCATCAGGCATGCTCCTAAGTAAAGCACTTGGAAATGGGCAGGGGTCTCTGCATGCCTCATACATGGACGGGCCCTGGGCATTTACCTCATCTGGGCTGGACGCCTGGTACACACGGCACGAGTCTTCATACTGCTTCTCAGCCTCAGCCTGGTCGGTCACGCCATTGGACTCATACACGGGGGTCACATTGTGGCAGAGGGCGATGGCCTTCACAGCTTCGTGCACACGGCTGCTCATGGTGCGCCGGACTTTGGTGGTGAGCGTGGGGCCCTTCTGAGCAGGTGGATCCTGGGATTGCTAGAGGAAGAAACAATGGACAAGGAAGAGAGGTGAACAGAGGCCAGGAAGAACCACACCACAGATTAACAGCACGTCTTTCTGCTGCTCTTCAAAGCAAGGCTCTTAGGCATGTCCACAGTGACAATGATGCTGTTGTTGTGGTTATGTGATGTGGAGTTGGTTCCGACTCATAGCGAGTCCCTGTAAAGGGTTTCTGAGGCTGGAAATCTTTACGGGAGCAGAAAGCCTCATCTTTCTCCTGCGGAGCAGCTGGTAGTTTCGAACCTTGAGGTTTGCAGCCTGATTTGTAACCACTACGCTACCAGAGCTCCTTGACAGTGTTGTTAGGGGCGTGCAAGTCGGCTCCAACTCATAGAGTCCCTACGTCCAACCGAACGAACCAAACGCTGCCCGCTCCGGTGCCATCCTTACAAGTATCACGTTTCACCCTTTGTTGTAGCAGATGACTTCTAATTTTGAGTTTGCAATCCTTTATGCTTGGCCCCCAAAATTCAAAATAAAGAGAGACCAAAATGACAGAAGAGTGAATGTGGGGGAGTTGTGACTATAACCCCAGGGGCTTCCAGCAGAGTGACGGCCACTCTGCACTGCAAGCTACAGGCCAGGGTCTCTTACCTTAGAACTATTGACACTTCAGTCTGCCAATTCTTTGTTAAGGATCCCTGGTGGCAGAGTAGTTAAGTCACCTGGCAACTACTAATTGAAAGGTCAGTAGTTTGAAGCTACCAGCCACTCCAGGGGAGAAAGATATGATGAGCTGCTTCCATGAAGATCACAGCTTTGAAAACCCAGTGGGGCAGGTCTACTCTGTCAAGAGTCATAATCATTCTTGGGGAGGGGGGGGGACGGGGAGGAGGGGGAGCTGTCCTGTTCATTCAAGACTGCTTACTAGCATCCCTGGTCTCAGCCCAATAGATACCAGTGATAGCCCCACCCCCACCGCCGACACACACACACACACACACACACACACACACACACACATTGGGACAAACAAACATATCTCTTGCCAAAGAGATACACAGGGAAAGCCTAATGTCCCCCTGGGGAACAAAATCATCCATGGTTGAAGAAGACTGTTTTAAATATACGTTCTTGTTCGTTTACAATAGTGACCCTGAGAGTTTCTGGGTGTTGTAAAACTTTAACAGACTTGCCTGCTAATCAGAAGGTTTAGAGGTTCAAAAGAAAAGACTGGCAATGTACTCCAGAAAGATCAGCCACCGAAAAACCTATGGTGTAGACTTTCATTATGAACCACATGGTATTGCCGTGAGGTGGATGCAACTCCATGGCAACTGGCTGAACTGAAGGCAACAACTTCACCTGGTACACTCCAAAGTAACGATCATCAGTCAACACCAGAAGGAAAGCTAGCTGGGCAGAACCAACTGCAAAATGGTACTGAGAACTCTGCTTAAGGTAGAGAATGCTCATCAGTTTTAACTGCTCCATGTTTGCCTCCCATGCTAACTTCAGACGCAACTTCTCTATCCATCCATCTATTTCTACCAGTTAGCACTGGCTGAGTGTCATCTACAGGCCAGGGAATAGGCTTCTAATCCATGCTACACACCAAGTCCTGGGAATCCCAGAAACTCCCTCAGTGGCCCCAACTCACTCAGTGGGACATGTTACCCCATTCCTACAGGTGTTACCTAAGTCTTCATGTGAACAAAGGGCTCTCCGGCCTTGAAATTTTTTAATTAAAATTATAGGAAAAGCCCACTTGTTATGGTTCTATGGCTCTGTGTTCAACAGAATCCAGATGCCAACCTGAGGAGCCCACCCACCTCTCCAGCCTCCCCTCAGGCCGCCTCATTCCTCACTGGCTGTACTAGCCACAGGGGCCTTCTTTGTGCCCACTGAAGGTGACAAAGCGCTTCCTGACTCAGGGCCTAGGCCTCTGCTGTGCTTCTGCCTGGAGCACCACCCCCAGATCTCCTTCTCAATTCAAATTCAGAAAGAGCCTTCCTCTGTGTCCAGTTCAGAAACCTCCCCTAGCTCCCCACCACAAACCCTGCTGTGACATGTGGTTACCTTCACTGACTAAACCTGGGTTGCTCACCTAATGCCTGGACAGTGCCAGGCATACAACAGACACTTGCAGAATCTAAAACAAATGAATCACAATATTCTCTGAGTTGATGGTGGGGAGTCCTCACGTGACATGACTATTTCCCCAGTTCCAAGAAGAAAGAGATGTCAAATTGCCCAGGATCAGTTTGAGATTTTAAAGTACAGTTCTGACCAAAGGACCCCGATGCTACTCGCTACTGTCCTGATGCTTCTATCACTAACCAAACCCTGAAACTCGAAATATTTACAGAGTGACAGCATTCTCCGTTCCATTAAAAACACATTTCATCCAAGAGAAGAGAAGCTACCGGATCCTTCGGGATGAATTGCATTTTGTACCCATAAACACATGGTTGCCCAAAATACAGACCAGATGGGCTAGGAGATGCAAGAAAATGACTTTCGTTGAATTTTTTAATACTATTTTTAGTAGCCTCAAGGACGCCTCAGGTAGTTGGACAATTACTAAATTACGCTGGTCATCACGGGGACGCACATCGCGCTAACTTCCTGCTCTGTTAACCTTTGGTGTCAAGAGGACATGAGTTTCACTTCCAGGTCAAAGGGCACGGCATGGTAACAATAATTAGAGTAATGAATCAGAACTACAGTTTAAATGAATCGTTACTTGCCAAGTGCTTTTAATTATCAAGAATTTAATTCTAAACATTATGAAGAGGGCTGGGGATCCACAGGATGGGTGTCTCTAGTGTATAGCCTAATCAAGAAAAAAACCTTTTGCTGCTGCTAAGTTCTGTGATTTATCTTCTAGCTAAGGATGTGGTGTCTCTATTTTCACCCCTGTACCTCAACACCTGGACCAAATTACTCCTTAACATTATGGCCAATCATAAGACCTCTGACAAAGTAATTACTTTGGTTGGCAAGCTTTAGCAGCACAGAGTTCGAATGAAATGCCAGAGGCTGAATTGGGGGGCTACTTGACAAACTTTTAGACTCTGTGAGCAGGTTCATTTCATGTCGACAGAAGTCAAATACTTCCCCTAATATTTCCAGTGCAGGACAACCCTTTGGGGTTTTTATATTCCAGGTGAAAAGAATCCAGAGCAAGGCAAAAAGGTAACACTGGAAACCCTCCACCACATGTCTTGTCAGTCTGTCCTACTGTGGAGATTTGTGTATTTCTATGACGCTGGAAGCTATGTCATCAGCATTTCAAATACCAGCAGGGTTACCCACAGCGGGCAGATATCTGCAGAACTTCCAGCTAAGACAGACTAAGAAGAAAGACCTGGAGATCTATTTCCAAAAAATGGTAATGAAAACCCTGTGGGTCTAAACATTATATTGTCTAAGATGAGGTCAAACACACTATGATCTGGACAATGGTCTCCAACATGCCAACAACCAGGAAGACAGCATGGGACCAGGAGTGTCTCTTCATACGTACATGGGGTCACCAGGAGCCAGAGTGGGCTCCATGGGAACTCAGGACAGTAGCAGAGAAAAGGAGTCAGAAGATACTAAGGAGGGAGAGTATCTGCACATTAATTCATCTCTCTCTAACAGTATTGGTTCCACTTTTCCGCTGTAATGTTTTGGGAAGCCCAGGCACAACCACTGATGCTGAAATTTTCTCTTTGAATTTTCAAATAAAAGACTCAGACTCATGCCAAATACGAATCCACATAGATCAATAAGGCATTGATAATTAAAGGGGCCGGGGCAAGGATGGGGCCCAGTATTAGGCCCATTCTTCAAATACCCTCGCATTCCCCATATGGAAGAGTTTCCCATTGTACAGTGTTTATCTCTAGCCTCCTCCCCATCGGCCCTTTAACCTACACACATTTCTTCTTACTTAAAAAATACCAGGGGAAAACAAAAACAGATGTGGTATCCACAGAAGCAGGTTACAGCCCCTTCTGCCCTGGGGAAAAACCACTGGTTCTCTTGTGGACGGAGAACAAAATAGTTCCCCATGAAACCAGAAGAGATTTCATGACCAAATGCAAGTCCATGTTGGGGGACGAATGAAGATCTCCATACACAAAGCACCTGAATCCCATTTCATATACAATGACTGATTCATGCAAGAGCACAGCCAAATCCCCAAGCCCACTGCCATCGGGTCACTTCTGACTCTACAGCACAGAGGAGCACTAGCATGAGGACGAAAATCAAGAGAGAATTTCAGCATCAACTGGCTGTTGTTGTTGTTGTTGTTAAGTGCCGTGGAGTTGGTTCTGCTCATAGCAATCCTGTGTGTGGATTCTGAGGAGCAGTTGGTGAGCTTGCAGCCCAGCGCATTAACCCCACAGCGCCACCCCAGGGCCTCATGATTATGACTGGCCTTCCCAACACACTGCAGCAGAAAAACAGAACAAGTGTTAATATAAGAACACAACACATGAACCTTTAAATGGAGTAGACAGCCTCATCTTTCTCCTGGGGAGCAGCTGGTGGATTTGAACCACCAACCTTGTGGTTAGCAGCCCAATGCTTAACCCACCATGCCCCCAGGGCTCCCTAACCAACAACATTGTTATGGTTGTGAAGGGACATCGAGTCGGTTCTGACTCATAGCGACCCTGTACAGGGTTTCCAAGGAGCAGCTGGTGGGCTCGAACCGCCAACCTGGTAGATAGCAGTTCAATTCTTATCCTACAACACAGCAGCCCTACAAATGAGAAACTTGAGACTCAATGAGCACGAGGCCTGTTTCCCACGAATGACCTGTGGCTGGGACGTTTCCCGGTAAGAACTACAGGCTGTGTTCTCGGCAAGATTATTACAGAAAGCAGCCGCTGAAAACCCTCCCGTGAACAGTTCTGCTCTAACACACATGGGGTCTCCAGGAGGCAGAACCCACTCCCCAGCAACTGGGTAAGAGAGGAAGGGAGGTGGGGCTTGCAGTGCAGGGGACCCACACTGTCTTTTTGACGAAAATGTGGCAC